TTTCCTGATTCGATCTTGTTCCTCCTCTTTGTGTTTTTTTTCGCGCTTCTCTTTTCCTGCACTCCCTGTCTTCTTCCTCTTCTTGTCACTTTGTGCCTTACAGCTCCTTTCTCTTCTCCTCTCTCTTTCTTGCAGCTGTTTCTGTTCTTCCCCGTGTTGCAGTTGTGTTGTCCCGAGGTTGTGTACTTTCATCCTCTGCCTGCAGGCGTTCTTCTTCTGCCATCCTGATGTCCTGTACTTCTGCTGCTGCTTCAGGCATTATCTATAAAGAAATTTTGTTTAACGAAAGACCTCTCAACTGTTCAAATCATTTCAAGACAGCATTTGTCTCTATTCGTCAGTTACTAGTTTATTGCTTTTGATCCTTGTTTTAAAATCTTTTTTCAGTTTCTGTTAGGGACTCTGTTCCAACTGTTCCTCATTGTCTTCCAATAAGGTTGCAAGCTTTCTTTTCGCTTTTTTCTGAGGCGTAACCTCTTCACTCTGACTTGTCGTCAGGTGGAACGGTCCACCTGTTTAGCACACCAGTACTTGGGCCACGATCTTTTGGTGACGCCCTTAATTCATCTAACACGTTAACTCGCTGTCGTTTCCTCAGAACGTTTAGGCATTCTTCTCAATTAATTGAAAACGCTTTCAGCATCTTCCATACCTTTGTGCTGTTGACTATTTGTAGTCACCACCTCGTTTATGAACAGTTTTTCTAAAATTAAAATTTTTCTAGCTGTTGGATTATTTTTAAGTCTCCCCCCCCCCTCCCAGGCATTTGCATCTGTTGCGCATATTCCGTCGTATTCACTATTAAGGCGAGAAGACTTCTGAAATGGACCGCATAATTAAATAGGATGTTGCCTGACCTCTCCATATCTTCAAAAAATCGTACCTCCTTTGGGATGTTGGTGCAATGAAATTGCATCATTTTAGATAGACTCTCTGCTATCACCGGGGCATCATTCTTAGTAATTAATGGATATTCCATGTCCCAATACTTTTGTAATATCGCAATCATTTCATCAAGGGACCACCCACTCATCAATTGCTGGACAAATTCTAAGTTTTCCGAACATTTTTCGGCAATTTCGGACGTGGCCACCTTGGGGCGTTGAAACCATTCACTATTTTGGGGTTTCAATTTTTCTTTGATGAGTTTACTCTGCAAGGTGCATCTATTTTTCCATATGGTCATAAAAACTGTTTTGGGAATTGGTTGTACCAATGCACGGCACCCTGTTTGCCCGGCGGTTTCGGAACATAAGCCATTTTCTAGGGAAAAAATTATTCTGTTAACATTTGGCTTGAATTGCTCTGGATGCCCATAAACCATGTAAAAAGGTCTTGTAATTTGTTAATGTTGACAACGCGAGATACACAGCCCCCTCAGGAACGTAAGGGCAATCTAGCCAAATGATTACCTCGCCAAGAGTTTAACCTTGAATTTTACATATAGTAGTACTTTATGCTGGAACAACCATTAAGAATGTAGGTCGTTTTCCTTGTTCTCCTCTTTCTGTTATCAAGTAATGAACTACGAAATTTCCATCAGGCAATTTGAGATGCAAACTCTTGTTGTGAAAATTTAGTACAGTTGCTGTTTGTCCGTTAACTACTCCATTCTTTTTGTCAATGTTTCTAGTGATTATCAATTTCATGTCTTTGTAAACAGGAGTCATTTCAAGTTCAAGTCATTTCACTTTCTGAGAGAAAACAAAGTCATTGCAATAGAGTTTGCTGTTCAAGACGCTTTTCTCGATACTGTCAGGACTAACACTTCTGCGTGTGTAAGAAGAATACCAGCGATCGTTTGATTGGAAGATGGTCATTATTACATAAAGTGCGTCCTCTGAATAGTTATTTCAAGAATGGTCTAGCAGGCTTATGATACCTTAGGTAACTGAGATATTCTTCAATAAAGGATCTCTGCACCTATGTTCTAGGAAATTGACTACAATGCAATTTTTGCAGAAGTCTTCATCATTAAGAATGCCAGTTGTCTGTTGAGTTCTTCCTTCCACGGTTCCAATAGGTTGCTGTTGCTGTGGATCACCACACAAGAGGACAACTGGCCTCACATGAAGTTGATTGAAAGTATTAGCTATATGCTTGAAAATCTTGGTAGGTACCATTGACAGTTCGTCGATTAAAACCATACTGTATCTGGCCAAATCCTAAATGATTTGTGGCATATCGTTTGCACTTGCAGGATATATGAATAGGCTGTGAATGGTATCACATAGAAAATTTTCATCTACGAATTGATTTCTGTAAGATGAAGTGAAAATGCCAGTAGGCGTCACACAATGTAGGTCGTATTGGCCCATGTAATTAAATTGTATAAGCAAGTGTTCTCTTTCATCACTACTTACTTGTTCAAAACATTTTCTAGGGCGGCTGCAGGGAGGACCTTGCTTTCTTGGGGATTTGACTTCCCGGATGACCTCATATAACGCCAATATTTCGTTTCCATCTCTTTGGGTTTCTTGACCATTTTTTTTGGTATTTCTTCTAACCGGTGTAGCCATATTTCCCGTGTTGTAAATTGCACTTGGCAAGTGTCAATGATTTGGCAAAAAACTGGCTTGCTGACTAATATTTGTGGACCAGGTGGGTCAGGGGGGTGCTCAGGAAGGGGTACTTTAAGGGGTATGTACAACTGACAAATGTGTTCCTTTCCAATCCCAACTAAAATTCATTGAATCAATGGTTATAGTGAAATCAGGTGGTGTTTATGTGCACTCTTCTTGGATAAGGATCTTTTCTCCATCTGACTACTAACATGTCTTAATTGCAATTCCTTTACCCAAAATAAAAGTGTACTAGACACAACTATTTTGACCCCCTTTTGCTCACCTTCAATGACTTTAAAACCAGTGTCGAGTCTAATGTCCTTGCTAGAAAATACTATCATTTTAACATGATATTTTTCCCTTTAGACTATTTTGGTATTTAGACTTGATTATTCGTTTAGACAGTCGGTGCAAAGTAGTTTTACATGCGCTAAGGATCTATTTAAGTTGCGAAATCTGCAGGCCAATGTTGTTAGATCAAAGTTGGAAAAGATACAGATATGGCTGAACAAAAAAGGAAGCAACTACTGGCAACTTCATGTCCACCAAGTTTCGTTCGGAGGATGACGATACGCCAGCATTTCACATACATTCTCCAAATACGATCGTTTGAAAAATTTAGAGTGTATGGAGAAAAATGGCTATCTGGACCAGAAGGAGAAGGAGGAGGGGGAGGAAGCAGAAGGAGCAACACATGGCAATGACGAAGAAGAGTTCGATTTTGGGAAATGAAGAAAGGAACAGCTGAAAGAAATAAGGAGACTTGAAGAGAAGCCGTTCCATGAAAGTGATTGGGAATTAATTAGGGAGATTGAACAGCAAATGGTAGATATGGCAAAACCAGCCATTGAACTACGACATGCTGAAATACTAGGAGAGGTAAGTGCTAAACAAACAACACCCGATACATAAATTGGAATATAGGTATTCTTCATATTACTTTAAATTAAATCTCTGTTAAAAAAGTTAAGTTCTTCTGCTTTGAAATTTTAGATCGAACCAGAGGACAGTCCCAGAAGCAGTGACAAAGAGTATCGCAGCAAGATGAGGATAAGCAAAGATGCTCTGAAACATTTGCACAGTTACCCCTGGGTAAAATTACCAGATTGTTTAACCACGTCAACTCATGCCAAGCCAGCCGCAACTGATTATGACCCAGAAGAATCAGACAGTTCAGGCAGACGATATCCCAACCTGCCCAAGATCCAATAGAGTTACTGGCAGTGGTTAGACTCACAACTAGAAAAGGAAGAAGACGACAGTGATGAAACGAATGATGAACATGGAGTTAAGGAGGAGTTAGTTCATTCATCATATTCTCCTCCAACTTCGAGTCCAGTTGAAAAGTACTGGACAGGGATTTGTTACTCCCTGCAGTATCCTCCTCCATGTATCAGTAACGACAAGTAAACCATTGATCATTGAGCATCATTGTTGTCTAGTAATGTTCAAAGGATTAAAAATGTGGTATTTGATTGGGGTGGACCATTAGAAAAGTTACGGAGGGATTTTTGAGAATTATGATTTTTACTTTAACATCTCACTAGTATGAATTTTTTTAGGCCAATGCGTGAATATTTTTTAGGGTTACTTGTCATTTATGACTCTTTTACATTTATCTTTCCTTCGCATGGATACTTTTTGTAATTCGCTTGCCCCCTTCTCCCACCAAATAAGTTTTCTAATGGTCTATTGCCTTAAAACTACTTGAATCAAGGGGTATCTAGCAAATATGATGGGGATGACATAAGAAATATCCTCAAAGTCTTTGTATCAGGTTACATACTACAAGCTTTAAGTTGATTTTAAGACGGTTTTATTAAAGATTATAGGTTCTGATAAATGTTAAATTGATGTCAAGGAAATTATAGCGTCGTTTCCATTTGAAAAAAAGTACAATGCAATGTACATCAGTATATATTTCTAGATACTGTTATCATCCACTTTTCCTGTTTTTTTTCAATTAATAGAATCGACAATGTATATTTTCATTGCATACAGAGAAATATGAAATAAAGAATTTTAATGGAAGTTATTAATTAGTTCCCGGAAAAACTTATCTTGTATTTAACTGTTTTTCAGTTTATGAATTATATTACTGGAGGTCACATAATACTGTTTCAGTCGTTATTGTTCTTCAAAAAATTGGTTAAAGCACCGACAAGAGCGTTCATCGTGTTTAACTATTGTTCCTGTGTCCGGTTTAAATTGGCCATAAATGAACTCGTGTCTTTGCACTGCTCTTCCATGCCTGCTTTAAACATTTCCTTCTCCTCGTCATTTTTTACTTCTTCTCTTGCTCTCTTCCTGCTCATTTTCCTTTGGGTTCTTTTCACTTTTTTTTGTCTTCGTCTTCAGCGATCCCCTCTTCATTGTGTGGTTACACAATAGCATCAACACCAGAGCTGGAACCAGCATGAGCAATGTGACGGAATGTCATATGCCATCTCTGCAACCGAGTACTTCGTTGATCTCCTTGTAGAAGATGGACTGTTTTCGATTTCCCCCACTCTGGTTCCTGATCCAAATTTTCGCAGCCTTGTAACGGTCTATCCAGTACTTCATTGTCTGTTGGCATTTGTCGTTAGTTTTCTTAGTACCACATTTGGCGCTTAGCTCAGGTGCGATCCGTTCCCACACTTTTCTAGCATCCTTGCTCTCTAGGTAATTGACATTTTCTGCCCAGACGGACCAGCAGCGATTTCTCTTCCTCGCTCCACTTTTCATGTGATTTTTTTGCCGAGTTTCTACCTGTAGAAGCAGAATCCGGCGAGCCACTGGCGTTGCTTGTGCAGGGAGACTCACATGCACATGCGCTAGCTGACTGATTTTCAGGTGTCGCTGGTTCGGGCCTTATAAATTGCTGGAATGGTGGTGTGCCTCCAACGTCTTGCTGATGTGGATAAAAATCGTTCGCTGGCAGCTGATGGCTGTAAAATGCTGGAAAATTTGTGTAGGGGAAGAACAAATCTCACCCATCCATGATTTTATGTACGCAAGGAACACGTAAGCGTGTAAGGGATAAATTTCCCACTCTTTTTTATTTTTATGTTTAGACTTTTACGTCACATGCGGGCACAAAGTGACAACTTTTGACAGCACCAGATGCGGTTGCCTTTGTTTAAGTCCTTTCCTGTTGTAATGGAATGTCTAGTTTGAAGACCTGTCCTATAGGAAAGTCCACGCCTCAGTATTGGTATCTGTCATGCAATGTTCTATGCTGGATTGTCTGGAAAGAGATAACAGACCAAAACTGTGAGTTAAGTCTGTTTGAACAACGTTATGTGATATCACTTGGGAAACATATCATGACCAGTGCAAATAGAAACATAGAAACCCTAACCCAAATCTCCTAGTTTCTGAATCATCTGAGATAGTTACAGAGGAAGCTGACTGGTCCTAAGTGTTATTCTGTGACAGAACTAACAAACATGGAAACCGTAAAATGACACCAAAGTACCTTTTTGACAGAATTGGGTGCTATTTGTCTGACATTAACTTTAGGAACGGTTGGGGGACGGTATGGTTATAAATGATCCACGATTAACAATGACAGCAAAAACAATAAAAATGATTACACTATAATTAAAGATGTAAATATTATAGGGAAGGATACCAATGTCAACATCACACTGATGACAAAGGGGGAGGAGAAAGCCAAAGGGAATAAATATAGAGAGCAAACAGAACAACCACTATTTTAAACCTTTGCAAATACCATTTAGCACTCAATTTTTATAGGCATACCGTTTCTTGACTGAGGAATTCTGCAGCTTGGAGGTATATTGGTTTCTGAGCTGAAAAGCTCAAAAGTGTTTGGGCACACAGTTCCCCATTCCCCACAGTTGGTTTTATGAGCTTTGAGCCAACACTCTTAAGAATTTCAATCCTTCAATCAGGAAGAAACAAGAAGTGAATATCAGATGCATTTCTTAACTAGTATGCAATTCATTTCAAGTGTGGCAATGTTTGTTCTCCCCTGGTGGTAAAACGTTTTATACATGATAGAAGCAAAGATTGAATTCAACGAGTAAACTAATTACTAATTATCATGATGGCAACTTATATTCCGTCACTCACATGCTCTAAACATTATCGTGGACAGGTTTCAGGCAAATAATACTCTAATTTATTCTGATATATTTAGCGTGATATGAACTTTCTAATTGCGATAGATAATACACGTTGATATCTTCTTTATCTTGATTCAAACTTCAGATTTCATCGACCACCGTGATGGTGTTTGCATTGCATGCCCATGTCAAATATGAACAATCAGAATCTTCATCGACATAAAATGCCACTGATTCAAACTATATGAAGTGCCATTCAAGTCTCTGCATAAGCTTTACTCACAGCACTCCACTTTCCTTGGTAGAAGTGTTATTTCTCTGAATGCTACTCCTCGATCTGGTCCCAAGTGGTTGTCTGTTCAGTTGTTGGTAGTAGTCGAAGTTGGCCATCTACTGCCATTTCTTTGATGTGGAGTGGTGGACCTGTGCCTTTGCACGAAACTTGGTCTACTAAATAACTGTAAAAGAGCTGCAGCTTCAGTTGTCGCAGATGATGTATGCCCTGTTGGCGTCGGTGAGGATTGTGTTTGTTGCATTGTACCACAACTTTGATTTTGCAATATCTGCGGCAGGCTTGGCCGAAGACGTTCAACTATTCTTGAAATGTCATTATCAGATATCCATCTTACAGTCTTTTTATGGAGCAGTCTTGTGATTCTGCGAGTCAGTCCCTTTCACAGTCCCAACAGCTTAGGAATATATCACAAAATGTACACTTTTAGCAGCTTCTTTTGCAGCGGACAACCTGACATGTGATATCTATGCGAAACGGGTTTGTGACATGCACGTCTGTCTTGTTCCGAAGATTTTCGGAAAAGGGAGTATTTTCAACCTATGTATTTCAGGCTGTACAACATGTTGAGTTTTCAAGTGACACATATGTTCAAATTTACAACCTGTATTTGCCTCATCGTAAGCTATATATACGCAATTTTTCAACCCATTTATAACACAGTGCAGCATGTATTCAGTGATACAACCTCTATTTTAGTTTTCAACACTTTTGTCACGCTTAGCGTTCCATAGATATGAACTGATAGCCTCAGTAGTAGGGAACCTGTCAAAGTGTGGTTGTCTGTATCTGAACAGAATATACTTTAGTGTGCCCTAGTATTTACATGTATTTTGCGCAATATAAGTATTAAATTATTATTATTATTACATGAGGACCCGCATACGCCTTTTTTTTTGCACACCACATGGCGCCGGCATCGTTAAGGACGCTAGGTTATGAGTGACAAGCAATAAACTTTCTACCGCAAAAAGCAATTAGTTTCTTCACCGTTTGTCCAATCATCAGTGGTCAGTTATTCGATAAGGCGTCCCTTTTTTTAACAAGATTAAGGCGGCATCTGGCAGTAGAGCAATTAGAGAAGAGATTACAATTTAACATATGCCAGAGATTTGCGTTCTCATGCAGCTCACCAGTTATCCATAATAATCACGCATGGCCTACGACTCAAGCATTGTCTTGTTCCATTTTGTATTTAATGTACTGAAGGGTCGCTGAACTCAAATAGAATCGGGCGAATGTTGCTAGATAAAAGCGTTGATTCAAAGTATTTATTGTGTAAAACATCCTGCAGTCCGTGAACACACAGCATACTACTCATCTTAAAGGAAGTGGATGCCAAATCATTGCAATCACATTGAATGCTGCGCTCTTAATAGCGTATTACAATGTTATTATAAAATATTTCGGTAAAATATCTGTGTCGTAACCACTTAATCATTCCTTATTAAGCAACCGCAGCAAAAAGAATAATAAGGCTTTTATAAAATAAAACAGCAGCAATATGAGCAAAAGACAACCTTTTGAGATCAGATTCTCTCTAACTTAAAAAAAAAATTATCATTCATCTGAAAACTTTCTTCCCAGTTCGCTAGAAATCTCACTAGCCTAAGGCCTGTCTGGGGCATCTACTGTAGTGGTACTAGCGATTAGTTTTGAAAACGGTGGAAGAAAATTTCTCCCTTCAACGGCTGTTCGAAGCATTTTGCCAAAAGAGAAAATGTCACTTTGCGTGCTTTCTTTCTTGCACGCTTTTACTTCAGGCGCAAGGTAATCTACATCACCTCTTCAATAACCCTTTGCTTCAGCTATGGGTTGACTTTTTCCAAAAGCCATGAGGACTAGATGAAGCTGCCCTGCTTCTCTGTTGAATGAGCACTTTATTCGACTGCAAAGCATTCTGCAAAAAACCCTGGTTGTGCATATATTTAAGAGTTTTGGCAATTTAATAAGACACTGGCCGTTGAATTTCTTTTTAGTAGCCTTTTCTTTAAAGCCTCATGGAGTGTGGTACTTTTTTCACCAATGCCGTGGAATTGGAAAACGAGACAAAATGGCTCTATGGTTGTACACGCACCAAAAAGCAAAGGGAGGTTTGGATGGTCCCCAAGACTTTTAAGAATCTGAGCTTCGTACAGCACCTTGCGTCGGCAACGTTCAGTTTCTTTGGGCGAGTCGTTTTGTTTTTTCATCTCTTTTACTGCGGTTTTAATTCCTCTATATTCTGCTAAAAAGGCAACTCCAAACTTTCCAGAGCCTATCGGCTCATTAGAAGTCTTGTTTAGCAGCAACGGGCAGATTTCTCAAAGGGCGAGCAGCAGGTTTTTCTTCTGATCAGGCATCGTAGTTGTAGCACGTCGTGTGGACTTATCAACCCTGGACAATTTGTTGAAAACGCAAGGCTGGTCATCCAGTTTGGTTGAAATTTCTGGCCTCTTCCTTTTGAGCGATATCTTTATCATCTGTTGGCCTTTGCTACATTTGAGGCCTAGTTGCACTCCCCTTTGGCGTCCCTCCTTCTCTGTCTGCCTTTGAAGAATTCTGACCACTTTTGTTGACTCCGTGTTTGTGTGGTAACTCTTGGCCGGCACTTTTATCAGCCAAATCAACCTGTACACTCGTCGTTTCATCTTTCTTGTTGGGAAAGTTGTGTTGAACATCCTCCACATTGTCTTTTGCATTCTTGCCACGTGGACATGTCTTTCGTCTTTCCTCTCGCTTTTGTCTTACTTTTTTCTCCTTCTGCCTCCATTTCCACTCACATTTCTGCTTTTGCTTCTCTTTCTTGTAATGTGGGCGAGAGAAATACCTATCCCCTTTCGGCGACTTTAGCAGTTTATGTGGTTCAAACATAGCGAGACAACTCGGCTGACATCACAACATTGGTAGCTTTGAAATTCGAGTAAATTTCTCTAGAGATCTATCAAATTTCAAGGTTTGTACATTTTTTGTACTGTAGAATGATATAACTCAAACTACTTTGGTGCGCTTGCAGATCAAAAGCTGTGAATGTACCTAGGCTGCATATGTTGCTGGTTTTTATTTAAGTATACGATTAGTTTGTTGTTCATCAGCATAAGTTGTTCCTCTTCTCCTCTAAAGTCTTGCCTCTGTTATTGCATGTCAAGTACGGCACTATAGGTTGTTCAGCTCCTGGCTGTGGAGCGAGAAAAATAGCTCAACCCCTGCTCTTTAACGAAGCCAATCCGTTTGTTATATGTGCAACATACCTGCTTCGGGCTTGTTGTTTGCTGCATTAGTTTCACCTGTTTGACTGATAAAATAGAAGAAAACGTTCTCTTCACTTTAATATTAGCCTCTGTAGCAGGCTCGGGACGTGACGGTGCAGGAAAGAACGGAGAGTGTTTTCCTCGTGCGCCCCTTTCTTTCTTGAACCCATGACGTCCAAGCGCCTGCTACACATCCTACTTTATTATAGACCTTTAATCCAAAAAAAACCCCAAACATTGCGTCTAACAGTTGTTCCGCCACGCGAGTAACTCCCGCGAGTGCCCTGAACACACACAATACCAGGGCAAATGCGTACATGTAGCCATACCCTAACCCCGGCAGAGAAACCTGTTTTAGGACAATAGCTTTCTCCTTGACTAAATCGCCCTTTAATACATTGAACTCATACCGTGGTTCATGACATTGACCATAAGCCTGCACGACATGGGGCGCACGAGCACTCCGACCATGCGTGCATGAACAGCATTGCACGCAGACCCTGGCCCCGGCGTTGATTTTTTCTTGAGCCCACTTTGTCATTATCTGCAGTGATACAATTAAAATTAAGGTTCAAGATGGCGCTTAGTGAAAATTTAACCAAAACTGCAGGGGAATTATACTTTATATGGAATTTTTCTAACTATGAAGCGCCAAATTTGAAAATATATAGGACCATTTGCGTTACAAGTTATTTCATCATGTGCGTGTTAGTATGGAGAGCAGTAATGACAGAGTTGAAGAGATCGATAAAGCGGATATTATGCTACACAGAGTTTTCGTAAACCTGTCTGAACCCTGAGAAGGCTTGGTTTGCCTTGAACACAAATTTATGTTGTGTGAAGCCATCTACGTTTTGCTCCTCAGCTACAGCAAAGCTTTTTGATGAGGAATATGCTCTAGTCTTCTTTGAAGATTTGCGCAGGAAGGATGGAGTTTCCACCTCCAGCAAATGGTTTTATGGCAGCAAAGGACTACGGAGTGACAAGGTACATGTTGCAACCGCCTTTGGCCTTTTTCTTGGTATTCTTCGGTTAAGATCATTAAAAGATTGCCCATTTATTAAAACCCGATATTTTGAATCAGTGGTATTGTGGCTGAACTCAAAGGCCTTCGATTTTCCCCAAAGCTCGGGGGCAGATACTCCTGAATTGATTAGGCTAAAATCACACGTTTTAGCTATCGAAAACCAGTCATCTGTAGCTTCCCAGGAGATTTTAAGTTTGCACGAGCAGCTGAAGACTTTAAAAGACGAAGATGTTGAAGATCTCCCCACTCCGCCAGCAACACCGAACCTGCCAAAACTTCGCGCTCTCTCGCCAAAATCCAACACAAAGAAGAATATTCCAAATCAATTGACGCCAAGCCAGGAAAGATCCAAGTGATTAAAACGAGCAAGGAAAAGAAGGATATCGGAGCTCAAAGTCAATGAAAACCTCTCACCAGAGACCAAACAAAGAGAAATCCGTGAAAGAGTTGGGCCTGTTGTTAAGAAATTAAACAGTGTATGTCACGCCAAAGGAAAATCCCTGGGGTCGGTCCTGGGAGAATGTTGCATCAATGGGGCAAAGGAGAGTGTCAAAGCACGAGAAGCAGTACGTTCTGCTTTTGACGTAATGGTGACAGAGAAGGGAGCACGTGTAGCATTTTCGAAGTTGCTATCAGAAGAGACCTTGAATGCAAGGGCTCAATCAATGCGAGTTCCTGATTAGGTGTTAGTATTGCTTAAGCTGAAATCCAGAATCTCAGGCAAAGGGTGGCAAGATTTCACCAATTTGACAAAACTTGGAAGAACAGGGGTAAGGTCATTGTACTTGACCCTTTGGCTCGCTAACATTGCTCAGTTTTGTAATTGGAAGTAACAAGTTAACCAAATAATATACATTTATCTTATTTAGTTCTCAACAACTTTTTGTATTATTTTTGTTAAGTTATCATTTAACAATGTACCAGGGGAGAGGCCAGCACACCACACATCTATCTTAAGACCAAACTCTCTCTCGATGGATGAGCAGTTCCCCTTTCTTCCTTACCGAGAAAGGTCCATATCTGCCCTAAAGTGAGATGCAGTTTACTACTTTTAGTTAAGCAATTATTGTTTTTTTACTTAAGAAAAAGAAATGACGAGTGTGTATTCCTGACCAAAAACAAGATTGTAGCATTGAAACAGGAGCAGTTTAAAGCGACTAGAAGATTGGTTGGTCTTCAGAAGCTACCACCTGATGTTCCAGGGTATGAAGTGAATCTTGCTAATATAATCACTTTGGCCATCCCGGAAATGTGGCTACATAGTTTTGCCTCCTCTAAAGTGGTCTCTAATTTGAAGGCTGATGGGCGCCCTTTCTTTGGTAAGCCACAAGTTGTTTTATGGCTATATGTACCTAACTTTTTACAATAAATTGAACATTTTCACCCCAACAGGGGCTTTATACTAGTTTAGCCTGTGGGTGGGTAATTGCTGTGCATATTCTTCACTTGCAAAAGACAATAATATTGGTTAGAGTTTTTACTGATTACTAATACTGATATACACTAAAGTAAGAATTTCATGTTTTCAGGGAAAGACCAGCTGACATTTGGTGTTGTTCCTCTGGATGATGGGTGTCATTCTACAGTGGCCCACAAGGGTCACTACCCATTATCTCACAACATATTTCGAATTATTAAGAGCAGATGTCTGTAAATATCGACCGGTGGTGGGAAAAATAAACATTTCGAAAAATCCAATAAAAATTCAGTGGACTACCCTAGGTACCTTATTTATGAAAATATAAATTTTACTTTCATCAGTTAAATATTTTTGCAATACAGCGAGTGTAAAGATGGACTGCTACACGGTTTCCACCGGGCCACTTTTTCGGGAAGCGCGACAGGGTAACGAAAAGAACTCGATTTTAGTCTAATTCAAACATCATTCAATTCACAATGCTTCTCATCGTATTAAAGGGATTTCAACATACACTTTGAGTGGTAATATGCTTCAATTGATTGAGACCAGAATATTTTAGAGATTTTAAGATTCTTGAATAATTTTGAGGATTTCACCCGCGCAAAATTTTGTCGAAATTCGAAGGCCTAAAATTCAATCTGATACATCGTTTTACGAAGTCATAGATATCTGACATTAAAAAGTGACCTTTAAGGTTTCGAAATATGGGTTCAAAACTTTGGGCAACATGCAAAATGAATTTTTGGGAAAGAGAAATTCAGGGAGCACTTGAGTGAAATTTGACTTGTCGGACTTGACAGTTATGAAGGTCGGCGTGACACGGTGAATTCGAAAACAAATCTTTCAGCCGAGGTACTTTTAATTCAGGCAGTCCCAAGTAAGATGGAAAATTGTACCTCAATTTTTAGTCAAAAAGAAGGTGAAATCCCGGCTTTTTATTGTAACCTGTCTTAACACTAATGCAAACGTGAAGGTCAAGTACTCATATCACGACGCAGCAAAGTGTTTAAACTATCGATCCTGTCTAGCAAATAATCAGGTCGGCAATATTTTTGTTTGTACCTTGTTTGTCCTTGCTTGTCTTTATGACCGCAAAACTGAGGCAAACTGCAGCAAAATGCCCGTGCGCTCGATGGGGCACTCGACGTGCGTCAGGGAAAGCTGTTACATGGATGGAGAATGCATTACGTAACATGACACGTACAAAAGGATCACAGAGATTCTTTATAGCAAAACTTCTAGATATAAAAAAATGTATCGTTGTGATAGGTAAGTGGTAGTTAAGCTTTTGCACATTGTGCTAGCATATGCTTAGAACAAGTTTATAGTGAGGAACGAACAGTTTTAAAGCACTATTAGAGCATCTTAGTGGTAGTTCTTATTTTTCAGACAAAATAGACATCAAAATGTAAAAAAAGAAATAAAAAATTCAAGAAACAAATTTGGACTGCTACGCTTAATATACAGTTGTTTAGAGGCACCATTGTTATATCACTTGTTTTATACTTTTTGTCAGCGTATAAAATAAATAAAAAGGCCTCATGATAAAAATTATCTTAGCGTTTTTTTTGGTGATGGGTGGGTGTGTGAGACTGATAATATTAATGGTGAAACAAACCGGAAAACGGAAGGGGATGAGGGAAAGTTCCAGCTCTGTGCCTATGTTTTTCGGATGGGCTTGCCCTTTGTTTGTTTCCTCTTTTTTCTTTCGAGTTTTCAGGCGAGCGAAGGCAGGGGATAATGTCGTCCCCAGGGCCGGAGTAAAGAGCAGAAAAAAAAACGCCATTTTTTCGCCACTCCTGTAGCTTGCGTGGCAAGCGTTTCCGTGCTGTTTTGGAGAAGAGCGCGAGGATCGAGAGTCAAAGAGCGCGCCCGAAATTGTGCAAGTGAAAGAACTGAAGGAAACTTCCTTTCTTCCCTGCCCCCTTCCCCTCTTACATCTCGTTCCATTTTTCTTGCGGTGAAAATCCTGTTCCTCTTCTTTGCTCCGAAAACAAATGGAAACGCTTGCTACGTAGGCTACTTTCCCTGTCGCTCCAACCCAGCACCCACTTTGTCTTTCATTCGCTTGGAAAACGCGAAAAATAGTGCATGTTCTGTACGTTAGTTTTCGCTTAGTTTGTGTGTAATTTTCATATATTAGTTTTTTTATATATGGATTTTATCTACTTTCCACCCAACCCCGACCTCACACTTCTATTGGTCAACCCTTTACTAAAAGTATTAGCTCGTGTTGTTTTTTCCCTTGTCAAAAGTCACACTGTTTCCACTAAGATTAGCCTAAGGATGTGCAAGAGCAGGCAGCCACAAGTTCTGAAATAAAATCCAGGTATGGCTTTTTCCTGTGCCTGGATGATGTATCCTCCATGTTGAAGTGATAGCAAATCTCACGAAGCTGAGCTACAGTCAGCTTACTGAGCTTTTTGGTCGAGCTCACCACACAGAGGTTCCACGTGTCATATATTATGGGGTGCACCAGTGTGCATTGCATCAGGATTGTGTTGCGTGTAATTAAGAAAGCTTTTTCGTCTTCGGCTGCTTGGTTGTCAGTGTCTTTGTCGTCCTCCGGAGTAGCAGCATGGCAAAGTTTCGCAGCTGTTCTGGAGAAAAAGCTCTGGATCTGCCCTGCGGTTAAGAACTCGTCCACCTTGAATCAGCGCTCACCTCTTTCATTGCACACATACTGCATTTCCCATACTACTTGTTCAGGGTCAGCCTTATGGCCCTTCTCCTGACCAATTCTAAACTTATCCCCCAAGTACTTCCTCTGGTATTCTGTAAATCTCGCTGTCTTTTTAGATCCTTTTATGGCCCAGCCTTTCTGTAGTGACTCAACAGCTTCACATTGTTTAGCCTGGACGACGAGAGTAGGCTGAGCATCACAGCTGACGTGCTGTCCAAGCTTGTATTGCTTGTACTGCATTCTGGTAAGTGTAAGTGCGGGAATGGTGGAATTCTTAGAAAGAGCTTCTTCTATCTCCTTCAATGCAGATTTCAGGTCCTGGCACTGGAGACAGGTGGTTTCATGATCGTGTTGACAGTCAACGCAGAGAGATTTATCATTTGGGTCATGTGCGTAAGTGATACAGTGGTTGGGTACATTTGCTTCAGCTGTCAGGTGCACCTGTGTTTGAATAGATAGATGAATTAATTAATTAATAGTACAAATGTAATTAAATTCATCTCCATTGGATAATCTATAAGCGGGGTTGACATTATCACAGAAGTACTATGGACCTTTAATATCATTCATCTTTTGTATCATCTTTAACATCGCCTACTTTTGTCAATATCTTTTGACATCTGTTCGTAGCGCATTTCAAGCTCGGCAGTGCATAAAAGAAAATAAAACTGACAAGGGCTACTGCAAACGCGCCTGTTATAATGAGCCGTTCGTGATACGAATGAGATTATACAGTACTGTTTGTTTATTTGCATCAGGCACGGCTCACACTATGAGAACGTTGTTTGTACGATACTATGTTGAGGCTTAGTTGTAAGTAACGCAGAGTCACGTCGCCTTGTAATCAGACTTGATATACTGCTTTGCCTCCATAAGTGCTCTCTGCCAACGTTCAACCCAAGTACAATCACTGCTCACTTTGGGAAGCATGGCAATAAGCTCATCGAACGCTTTTCCACAGTCTGCTGCAATATAGTCTAACCCATGAAGTGACCGTCTTAACAGTTGCAGAGCAGGACGAAAGTATGCGCAGCATTGTTGACCTACTGATTGGGGTGAATTGATTGAGTTCAGCTTTGACAACATCTAGGTTTTTCCGGTTGGTCATTAACTTGTTGATGTCGGTTTGCTTGCGGGAAACCGCCTTTAATGCGTTTGTTTGTCATTATTTCAGCCACCGAATTTTTTCTTCTTCGCCTTTTTCCGTTAATTTTCGGATCCTTTGAGATTCTTCATTATCGGTATCGGAGTTTTGGGCGTTTTCATTTCCCTTTTTGTTTTTGAGAGTTTCCAAATTTTCTTCTTCCATATCTTCAAGAATGTGATGGGTGAGTTCTTTTCTGTCATTGCTGTTTCTGACCGTGACGTCAACACTTTCGCTCACTGTTCCTTTGTTTGACCACGTGGCTTCGTTTGTTGCCATTTTGGACGTTATGTTTTCGATTGTGATTCAGATGAACCAAGTGTTTGAATGTTGCGTTGTACAGCATACACTGAATCCACAAATCAATTGAGAATTTTCAAAGTGAATGTGAGGGCGAAATGTTACTCACAGGACGATCGTTTAATCCCACGTTAAGACAAAATTCTTGACGCGCTTTAAGAACTTTCGCTACAATAATGATGCTCAGGACGATAAGGATGTAAACAGAGTTTATTGAAGCGAAGCGATGAGACGTGTTAACAATGTTGAAAGAAGTGATGCGAAGCGATGCGAAGCGAAGCGATGATAAGGCAGTGTAAACGAAGAAAACGATGTACAAAGAGGTTTCGAAAACTAAGAAATAAATACAGCGAAAACTATAGTTAGATTAACTAGAAACTACCTTAAAACTACGAAAACAAACTTTGGATTTCATTAATACGATGCAAAAAAGGCTTTATAAAACGTAACATATGCACCAAGTGAAAAGACTTACTTCTGTGTCCACTTTAGGGATTTCACAGCATTGACGTTGAGCCTTACTTTGATCTTAAGACGATGACACGTTGACTAGAACTGCAAGTTTCTTGAGCACATTCGACAGTGCTAACTAATACAAAGGATAATAGATTTCTTTGTTTGTAAATCGTAAGCAGGTATATCCGCGGCAAAAACCACAAATACTATAAGGTTATAACGCAAACGAAACTAAATAGGGTTAAAAAAGAAATACGGAAAAACCAGAAAATATTTGGCGGTAACAAATAGAGCGAAAAAATAACGTAAGTAAAAGCCCACTACCTGTACTCTTCACCTTATTGTAACCCACTTGACCTTTCTTGGGCAGATATAGGCCGATGCTCATATTAAAAAAGAAATAGACTTTATTTCTCTGATAGTATGCCGGGCAACTTGCAAGAATTGTACTTATCTAGCCTATCTGTACCCTTTTCAGCATTGTAGATAAATTTGAAACCCTGGTAGAGCAGTTGCAGTTTGACAGATATTTTATATGTTGTTTGTATGACATAATGTGTTGTAGAGTATTTTCCCTTTATTGCTGCTACCCTTTTTCCTCTTGCGGTTCTCTACTGTTTTCTGCTTATTGAATGTTTTTGTTTTTCCGGT